ATTTTTGAGGGTCCAAGTGCCATCTATAAAACATTTTATAGAAATTTTCCCTTAAATTCTGTGCTTGAGTGAACTTGACATTTCTTACCCAAATTTTTTCCCAAGTTTCCAACTTTATTGGTTCTTGAATATTTTGAGCCCATTTAATCATACAATCTTTAACCAATTCTGTTTCGCAGCCTTGGATGTTTGATGGTATCACAGATCTCGTCGCAGGATGGAAGCAGTTCCTAGTAAGGCCGCCTTTTGCAATTGACTAATGGCGAATGTGTCAATGCCGATGATGGTGTCCAAGGGGTGCTCCAGTTGTTTTGGGATTGCACCCAAGGCACCTATGACTATTGGTACCACCCTTGCTTGCCTTTGCCACAGTCTTTCTATTTCTATTTGTAGGTCTTTGTATTTTGTGATCTTCTCCAGTTCTTTCTCGTCTATTCTGCTGTCTCCGGGCACTGCCACGTCCACTCTCCAGGCTTTTTTGTGTCTTTCTTATTGACAATTGTTAAGTCCGGGGGTGTTACGTTGCGGGTGCTTGTGTGTTTGAATTCTGAAGTCCCAGAGCAGTTTACCTTTTATCATTTTCTACGACTTTCTCTATTTTGTGATCCCACCAGTTCTCGCTTACAGGCAAATTGATATTTCTTGCAGATCTTCCATTGCACCATTGTTGCTACTTGGTCGCGCTGCTGCTTGTAGTCAAGTCTGGGCGATCTTCTCAGAGCAGCTTACCAGGTGGTCCCGTTTTTTTTTTCTTCTTCTTCTTCTTCTTCTTCTTCTTCTTCTTCTTCTTCTTCTTCTTCTTCTTCTTCTTCTTCTTCTTCTTCTTCTTCTTCTTCTTCTTCTTCTTCTTCTTCTTCTTCTTCTTCTTCTTCTTCTTCTTCTTCTTCTTCTTCTTCTTCCTTCTTCTTCTTCTTCTTCTTCTTCTTCCTTCTTCCTTCTTCCTTCTTCTTATCATCATCATCATCATCATGAGCCAGGCAGGGGACTGAGAGAACCCTCCCATACACACACCAGGTTCCCGGAAAGAGAAAGCGGAGAGAGGAGACCCCAGCGATCCAAGCGACCCGGCGGGGAGGATCCCTAGTATGGCATGCTGGCCCAGAGCAGAGGGAAGGGGACTGGAGGCTAAAACATACGAGGAACGGTTGCTGGAATTGGGGATGTCTCGTTTAACGAAGAGAAGGATGAGGGGGGACAGGATAGCAGCGTTCCAGTATCTCAGGGGCTGCCCCAAAGAAGAGGGAGTCAAGCTCTTCTCCAAGGCGCCTGAAGGCAGGACAAGAAGCAACGGGTGGAAACTAATCAAGGAGAGAAGCAACCTAGAACTATGGAGAAACTTCCTGACAGTTAGAACAATTAACCAGTGGAACCACCTGCCTCCAGAAGCGGTGAATGCTCCAACACTGGAAGTTTTTAAGAAGAGACTGGACAGCCATTTGTCTGAAATGGTATATAGGATTTCCTGCCTGAGCAAGGGGGTTGGACTAGTTCAGGGGTAGGCAACCTTGGCTCTTTTATGACTCGTGGACTTCAACTCCCAGAATTCCTGAGCCAGCCTGGCTCAGCTTGGAAACCTCTCCCTTTCCCCTCAGCATGGCTGGCTCAGGAATTCTGGGAGTTGAAGTCCACGAGTCATAAAAGAGCCAAGGTTGCCCACCCCTGGATTAGATGACCTCCAAGGTCCCTTCCACCTTCCACACTGGAAGTTTTTAAGAAGAGACTGGACAGCTATTTGTCCGAAATGGTCTAGGGTTCCCTGCCTGAGCAGGGGGTTGGACTAGATGACCTCCGAGGTCCCTTCCAACTTTATTATTATTATTATTATAAGGGGCTCTCCTTGGGAGGGGGGTGTCGGGGCCACTTTTTTGGGGGGGGGACCTGGTCACCTTCTGCACCCCCGGCGGAAAAAGAAAGGCGGCGGAGGGGGAGGCTCAGGAAACACACACACACACACACACACACACACACACACACACACACACACACACACACACACACACACACACACACACACACACACACAGAGAGGTGCGTGCAAAAGAGGCGGAAAGGAGCCGGGAAGCGGCGGGGGGGGGAATCGGGGCTGCGGGGGTCCCGGCGAGGAGCCGGATACCCCGCAGAGAAAACGGGGGAGAAGCCCCCCAAAAGCGGCAAAA